CCCCATACACAACCACTTTTCTGGTCAGATCTTTTCAAGCTGTGAGTAGCCCAGCGTCTTCCTCAAACAAACTAAACATAAGAAACACTCAGTTCAGTCTCCACGTAGATTTGTACCTCCTCAACTTTCATGACAATAAGACTATAAGAAGAAGTCACAACAGACCACATCAAAAATGTATACGGTACTCATTACTAACTACCCTTCCATCTTTTTAGTTTTAGTAGAGGGTTTTATGGCGCTCATAACTGCATAAGGTCATATGAGCGCCAGAAAATTAGAGGTGTTACAAGAGAGTAACAAACATAAAAAAGAAGAAGAGGAGATAAGGACAATAGATGTTTGATAGGAAAGAAGAAGCAAACCACACCAGAGCACCCGCCAACCATCCACACCCTTTCATCAGAGGAAAAAAAATCAGCTAAAAAGAAACAATACCACTCTTTTTTCTGGAGTCCACATCGACAAAACAACAGTGAAGAAATACGATTTATGAAGAAACGAAAAAAGCAGTGCAAGGGGACAAAAAAATCCGGGATAAACAATTAGTGATTCAAACTAAACTCTGGCCAGTCACTCATTCTACACAAGCGGAGACACATGCAACATTTAAACCTGTGTCCTTTCAAGTAAACTTCTCTGTTACATTTCTACATTGAGACATGAAAGCTTAATTAAATATACAATCAGTGACAATCAACATGCACACTCAGACATGAGTACACATCTGAATTCTAATTCTAAGCATCCGTTCTCAAAGTGTGGGAAACAAAAAAAAAAGCAAAGGAGGGTGCAGCTGAAAGCTTGTGCTTGCTCAGCGTCCCTGTACAAGACGGTAAATGTCACACGACCTTCACAAGTTGGAGTCACGCGTCACACCAGCATCTTCACAAACACCACCACACATTTTGATACGCAGTGAAAACACTCTCTGAACCATTATTATTAGCCACACAGCTCTGACATAGCTTATATTTCCTGTAATGTCGTTAATTTGGTAGGCTTTGTATGCATTATGAGTGTGTATATGTTTGAACATGTAATTATGTATGTATGTATCTATGTTTACCATTGTAACCCAGGTTTTTCCCACACAGATCATTAGCGTGTAATTTTTAAATTCTATTTTTCATTGACCTTTATTCTATTCATCATTTACCTCTATTCTATTTATTATTTACCATTATTCTATTCATCATTTACCTCTATTCTATTTATTATTTACCATTATTCTATTTTCATTTACCATTATTCTATTTTTCATTTACCTTTATTCTATTTATCATTTTCCTCTATTCAAGTTTTTCCAGTTCTGATTCTGCCTATCGGTGATCATCACAAACTCCACCCTCACTTGTACAAAGCTTCGTGTGCGTGCGTGCGTGCGTCTGTCCAGTCTCACCTCACCATACACTCACTACCACAGCGAGCTCTCTCACCCACTCACCCTCCCAGAGAACCACTCACACTCACAGGCCCCACACTAGACGACCTCACCACACACAGAAACCAGTCAACATTTAAAGACAAGTAAAAAAAAACATCCTTACATTAAAAAAATATCGTAAACCCAAACACAATTTCGGTACCTGGTAATATCTTTTGCTAAAAAGGACTTAGACAAGAGAGTGCATCACTTCACCCATAATCAAAGTAACTCTCACGAGAAAAATTCACAACAACGAAGATTACAATTTAAAAAAAACCCAAAATCACTGGTATCTGCTTCAAAATCTCAGTTGAAAGGAACCGGAAAAGAAAACTCCTTATTTTTTTTTCAAAAGGAAGTAAAAACCGGCACAATTTTGGAGTACAAATTATGATTTTTTTTCTTCTCCAGAAACCCGAAATACGGTACGAGCCTAGCCCCGTAACCTACAATTCAGTAAGAGGATAAGATGGGCTCAGAACTGACACACTTCTGCCTAAGCTTTCATCACATGCTGGTTCTTTTCTCCCCCCCTCTCCTCTACACTCATCAAAAACTACACCCCCTCCTAATAATAATAATAATAAAAAGCATTTGTATAGCACATATCCTTGCTTTACAGCAAGCTCTACGAGCTTTAAACTATTATTATTATTACCCAAGCAGACCCTATGACACTCGAAAAACATTCTCGGATTCCTGGGAAGCATACAGTGCAAGCAGCCAATTAAGCGCTCAAACA